GAATTGAAGTGAACAACAGTCCCTCCACCTACGTATTCCAAAAACAAGGAATCCATTTATCGATCTATAAGTATTTTTGCAAAGTCTGTACTTTTCAGCCCCTCTCTTCGTGGAGTGCCATCATCAGTGAACTACGGCACAACTCAGCAACACACAACCACCACGAACTCAGTGAGTGCACGACCTGCAGGACAGCACAGTCCACAGGCGCAGCACTCACCAAATCCTCCTCCAGTTCCGTCAAATCCTCCTCCAGGTTGGTTTTCTAGTTTTTCGATGGACGATAACTGGAACAAGTTGAAGATGGAAAATTATCTGCGTGTTATGCACCTTGTGCACTTTTTTTCGTGCGAAGTGAGCCTAGAGCGTATTCTCTTATTCACTTAAGTCAGCCTGATCGACATGGCTTTCTGGAATGAATCGGGAGGGATCCGTTGCCCTACAGTTACTGGGTTGTCTCGGGAAAATTTGCTATTTTTGATCGGAGAATCCAAAATAACTTAACTCCACCTCTATCAGTCAAAGCAAGTGCTATTAGGATCAGCACAAAATGGCTTTAGGGTATAGGTATAAGTCATGAATATACGCCGTCCCAATGAAAGCAAAATCACGGAAGTCGACAGACTGAGAGGAGCCTTTCTTGATATCTTTCTAAATCAGGTAAGCGTGTTGATCAAGTGCGCATCAATTCAATGCTTTTCCACTAATTCAAGCGATACCCGCTTCTGCACTTTTTCTAACCTTCCCTACCCTTGTCCCATCGTTCTAGCCTCACTTCTCAAATTGACATCAATGGCTGCCTTTGAATGTTCGTTGTCCAACGGTCACTGGGACTGGGGTTAGTGGATCATGACAGCTTGCATCTCTAGGAGCAAACTTTCGAAACCAATTTTGCGCTTTTCTTCCTAAACAGATTCTCTTCCCAAACACTCCTGATGTTCCGGGTGGCTTCCTTTGCCGATCGGCTCAATTCGAATTCATGAAGCTTAACGACGCTAAAATCATGCTTATCCATAAGTTTATCAATTTAGCACCACTCAGATAAGCAAATTAGTGGTGAGGTCGAGGAACAGATTCACGAAATGATATGTGATTGCCTTTTGGGATAGCCAGTGCACGTGTAGAAAGCTTTGCGAAATATTTTGTAGCTTTAACTTGAGCGATTATTTTCGCAACAACGTTACAGCATAGGAGCTACTTCAGAGTAACCGAATTTGCATGAAGCGTTCGCTGCGATTGCTTTGTTAACCATCCTGTCTAAAAATGGTTTTTTAAAGCTTCTCGTTCAGTTTATAGAAGTGCTATGTCAAGTTTTTTTTGTGTGCTGTGCA